TCTTTTCCAAATGTGAAGGGAATCGAGAGATGGAAGGAGGAGGACAGAGGAAGGGGAGGAAATGGGGGTGAAAAATAGAATTGAGAGACAACAAATGGAGTCAAACGTTTGAAAATGGGAAGGAGACAGAGAAATAGAAGAAACAGGGAGACGGGAGGGGAGCAGGGGGTGAAAAAGGAATGCAGATGTGTTATGCACAGGTACCAACTCCTCACAATAAATCTAAGCATTATGTAGCGCAAACGTGTACTAATAAAAATAAAAACGTTTAATAAAAAAGATAAAAGTCATATTTATGAAGCAAGACATAAACAAGCTTCAGGATAACTAAAAAAGATGACAGTTGTTGTTTCTCAGAAAATGCACTTAAATGCTTTCAAAAGACTTTATACAAAAGGGAGTCAAATAATGGTAGTTAAATTACATGTCAGCAAAATCATTATAAACATCAGACGACAGAGTATAAAAATTTAGTCTACTACAGTGAGATTGCTTCACAAGCACCTTCTAGTTCCCAAGGGGTTTCAAAGCAGAACTAGATGTCAGCCTTCAGAAAGGGGCACTACGGGGTTTGTGCCAGGAGGACTAGGGGAACACCTGCTGTCCACCCGCCCCAGTGACGAAGCTTCGGCCTGACATCAGAAGACTGCCAGTGGACAGGCGCAGTGGCATCTGCCTGTGATCCCAGCCACTTGACCACTCAACCTTGAGGCAGGAAGGCTGCAAGTTTGAGGCCAGCCTGGGCAACTTAGCCAGACCCTGTCTCAAAGTTAAAAATAAATGAAAGAACAGGGCTGAGAATGTAGATCGGTACTATTGTACCCCTGAGTTTGATCTCCAATACCTGTAAAAAAAATATTGGCCAATGGATGTACATTTTGAATAACATTAAAAGTATTTAATTGTATATGTATTATTTGTTTTATTCTTTGCTTTGAGCAATCTTTCAGTTAACTGACTAATTTAAGCTCCAACCGTGTTGCATAAGAGGAATCCTGTTTATTTGAAAACAAATCTACTACACCAGGGACCAAGAGCATCTCAGTTTACCACTATTATCCCCAATAACTGCCCCAGCATACTTCCTGGCATATAGTAGGTCCCCAAGAGATAAATGTTGAACTAATAAACTGGGTAGCAAATATGAAAAAAAAATGCTTTTAGCAAAAAGTAAAGTGAAAAAGGCAGAATACAAAATTACATATAAACCATAACTACACTTTCTTTTGTAAATATGGAGACAAATGGATACAACTAGAAGGAAACACTCAAAGTTGCAAAATAATTATTTTTAGGATAGAATGAATCATGGGCAATCTTATACATTTTTAAATATTTTCTTAAACATTGGTACTTTTTTACAGATTTGAAAAAATAGGAATCCAGAAAAGAATAAAGCCAATTTTGTTCCTACTGAACTCCCAAAATGAGTCAATCAACATTTCTCTTTTGTAAGTTCTCCAACATTTCGGTTGGCTTACTTTGGCAAATTCTCTCCTTCACCCACTTCACCTTCACAAGGTCCTGAGAATGAACCTGTACTAACACTTATTTTGTGTTTCCAAACCATCAGGATGCTTGTTTTAAAATCTGAAGCTATCCACTCTCTCATTTAACATCTATTTGGTTTTTTTAAAAAATTGCTCAAAAATACAATTTACATTCCCAAGAGATCTCCACATACCATCTAATTAAATCATTCAATCAGAAAACAAATTAAAATGAAATATCACTGCAATCCCCAAAAGGAAAATAAACTTTTCAGTCATGACTAGAACAGATCTCTAGGGTGACGCTCCAAAGCCTCTTCTAATTGCAAGTCCTCTCAAACATCCTGCACAACATATTGTGACATCTGCAGCTTCGAGACAACATTCCTTCCAAAGAAGAGAGAGGCCTGAGCAAGACTCCAAGCAGACGTATCCTTGGAGATAGCAAAGCTTCTGTTAATGACTAATTGGTGCACTGGGTACCAGCACTCTGCACTCATTCATTCACCCACTCAGCCATCCAGTAACTGCTCTTTATGGAGTTGCCAGGAATGGTCCTGGGTGGTCATCCAGCAATAACGAGGTGAATATAATCTCTGCCCTTCCTAATGAAACAAAACCAAACCCAGAGCTGTGTGCATTAATCCACAGAAAGCATCTCCAAGTGGGAAACTACTGATCCCATCACCCTTGACTTCCCTCTGAGCCCTTTCACTTCCACACCCACTTCCATCATTGTCAACTGACACCAAGAGAGTGTGCTCTTCCCCTGAGACCTGCCAGCCCTCTCCATATGCAGGATAACAGGTAACCAAGAACACAGACTCTGAAAAGAGAAGCCCAGCTGACACTGGCACCTCCCGAGCCTCCAGAACCAAGAGCCAGGATAAACCTGTTCTTTTTATACAGTAAAGAAGAACATAGGCCCTGCAGCAACACTAGCTGAATTTAAATCCCTATACTACCATATACCATGGGCTGACCCTGGACAAATGAAATAATCTCACTGTGCCTCGGTACCCACTTCTGTAAAATGGAGCTAATATTACCATGAGGTTGTAGGGAGTAAAGAAGCCAACATAGGCAAAGCTCTTAGAGTAGGGTGTGGTGCATAGTCGGTGCTGTGTCATTTTCAGCTCTCATAATTTTCCTTGCTCCTCTCATCTCAGCAGTGGAAAGTGGATTGTTCAAGATTTTGGTGGACACGCAAGAATGGCCCACATCAAGTCAGGAGTTTGATCTTCCTGTCCTTTCTCACCCTCTGCCTTCAGAGCGCTGCACTTAGCCAGTCCCTCTGTGGGCCCCTTACCTGTGTTCCTTAAACCTAAGCTCAGGGACAGCCTTGTCGCCATGAGAAGGCTGTCACTTATCCCTACACCATCACAGAACCGACAAAATAACCTGTGCCCCCTGTCTGCCTCATTGCTGGTCTTTCCCAAGTCCCCACTGGGGCCCATAACTCTGGCCTCTGTCCTGAGATTGGCATCATTTCTGAATATCCAGAGGAGTCGTGGCACAAACACAAGAGAACTAGACCAACACATGATGCAAGGATCCTGCTCTCTTTTTCACTCACCTCTCATTTTTTCAGGCATACATTTGAAAGTCTCAGACAACGCACAGTTATAAGGTTTCCTGGGAGAAAATCACAAAGACTCCTTTCAACTTCAACATTGTGCTCATTTCCATGAGAGCCTCATATATAAATCACTGGAGCTGGTCTACATTCCAGGTGGAGGAGCACAGGGCTTCACAATGCCCCCCATGGTTCCCAAAGCAGTACCTTACCCACAGTCTCCCTGACCAGACAGAAAGATACAAGAGGATCACTTTGAACACATGCAATGAGGGTGGGGGGCAATACGCATGAAAATTTGTGAGTGAAAAGGCTCTCAAAACCTGTGGACAAACTGGGAATGTCAAAGTAAGGCATAGCCTTGTATATCCAGGGAATACTGTGAAAAACCCTGGGGCAAGCATTGTACTTCTATGGCTGATCAACTGTCAATCCAGGCCCGGGTATAGAAAATGACAAGTAAAAAAATAGCAGCAACAGACACCATCGGATGTATCCTTTGGTCGGCCGGACCCAGTGCCTGACTGAGGGCAGAGGCCGGCCTGAAGAAGGAGAGCCCGACGGTGATGGCCACCCTTCTGGAGAAGCGTCAGAGGCCAAGCACGTCATTAGTGAGGAAGCATAAGGAACAGGGTCACTGCTCCTACCTCCCCTGAACCTGGCTGAACCTCCCTTGAGCAACCGCTGCTCTGGCCACATGGGGAAACACAGACAGAGCAGGTCCCTACTCTGGGAAGGGCAGCAGGTGCAAAGGTTGGGACCCAGGCACCTATTGTCAACTAGAGAGAGGGATACAGAGACAGAGAGCGATTGATCCTGGGGGAGGCAACAGCCTTCAATGCCACCCACACTGCCAGGATCGCGTGCTGGCCCCAGGGCCCCGCAGACCTGCCAGGTGTACAGGTGATTTCGCCTCAGCCCGTTCCCTAAGAAGCTCACAGCCTAGTAGAACGCAGAGGGCTCAGGGAGGGGAAGAAAGACAAGTGTGAGCAAGAGAGGCGCTGTGTGTACACAGGGCCAGGAACTCCGTCCCCTCCCTGACAGCTCACCCCACCGGGTGGCTGGGGCGAGCTGCTGTGTGCCCCCTCCCTTTGGACCCCGCAACGGCCCGGAGCACACCCACCCGGCGCAGCCTGGACTCCAGGCCCACCCGCCTGGGTCTCCCGCTCCTCCCTGCCACTCCCTAGGCTAGGGAACGGTGCCTGGGAGTGGAGCTAGCAGAGGGATGGGCCTTCATCAGGTCCCCGCTGGGAAGGCGCAGCCCAGGGCTGGTTTTCTCTGTCCTAGGCAGAAGCGCCACCGCAGTGGCCACGGCTCAGGCTCCAGCAGCTTTGACACCTGCTCCTAAGGAGCGTCGGAGGCCCGCCAGCTGTGGCAGAGGTGAGGACAGATGTTGATTTCAGCAGCCCCCGGCCACAGATTGTCCCTCTCCTTCTCAGTCGCTCAGGGACAGAGCACAGCAAGGCTGGGGCCAGGGCTGGGACGAAGCAATTTTCCTAGCTGGGTACAGTCCCGCAGCCTGTGTCCTAAATGCCAACAGCTAGGACGGTGCGAGCAACTCGCCCGTCCCTTCAGGAGGCCACATGAGCTCTTTCGCCCTCGCGCGATCTCTCGCACACACACAAATGCTCTAAGCTGGACCTGCGTGCGATCCCAAGAGCCCGCGAGCAACCAGCCTGGAGTCACACGCACATTTGGACACGTGCGCAGCACGCCCCCACATCGACCGCGAGCTGCACACTCGCGCGCGTGCAGCCCCGCTCACACACGTGTGCCCGGGGAAGCGCCCAGGGCCGCAGACGCCCAGGGTTCCCTTTGCCGGCGAGAACCTAAGCGCGGGCTGCACCCCGAGCCGGGAGGACCCCGGCGCGCCCCGCACCGCACTGGGCATTCCCGGGCCCCGCGGGCGGCCAAGTTTCCCGGGGTGCCCATACCTTGGATGTGCTGCTTGATGACATTCTCCAGGTGGTCCAGCCGCTCAATAATCTTCAGAGTATCCCCTTTGTCTTCCTCCAGCTTCTTGTCCGGCGCCGGTTCCTGCCCCCGCACATACACGCTGGCGATGTAGTTGGTGACCCAGCCCACGTAGAGCAGGCATATGATGTTGGTCATGCCGCTCAGGATCACGCAAGTGGACACCAAAGTTTTGGTCTTCCTGGTGCACACCATCCTGGGCCCCCTCCTCCATATAGAGCTCCCGGGGCCCCTCCTCGCTGCGCGCCCCGGGTTCCCCCGCGCTCACGCCCCCTGGCGAGGTCGGGCCGCCGGGCGCGCGGGCACCTGAGTCTCGAGCTTCCCCAAAGCCGGTCCGCGGGCTGCGGAGCCGCCGTGCCCAAGTTTGCAGCTGTCGCCGCTGGCCACCGGGAGAGAGCTGACAAAGGAAATGAAATGGGGTTTTTTTAAAGGATTTTTTTTAAACCCTTGAGAGCTTCGCAGAGCCGTCACGGATGGCAGCAGCAGCGTGACCCAAAGCGCACGTCTGGGAAACTTTGTCACTGCCTGGGTCCGCGGCTGCGCCGCTTCCCATCGCCAGGCGCCGGGTGCTTCAGACCCGCGCTGCTCGGAGGACAGCGGCGGTATCGGCGGCGGCGGGGAAAGCCGCGGAGCAGCGCGGCCCGGCCCCTCCGAGCGACAAGCGCCGCCACCAATCGCGCTCCGGCTCGGGAGCGGGGCCGCTGCTGTGCGGCCACGGACCAACGAGGAGGGCTCGGGGGGCGGAGTCCGGGCCGGGGCCCCACCTGCCCACCGCCCTAGCGCCGCCCCCAGGGACTCGCCTGAGCTTGCACCCGCGCGGGACGGGCTGCCCGGACCCTGAGCTCCCGGGAACCGCGCGCGGCGGGTCCCCGCCCCAGGGCGGCAGATTCCGCCTCTTGGGGACTTGCCTTGCTCGCTCTCAAGCAGGAATCTCTGGCTTTGGACGGACCAGAGCCTCAGCTAGCCTCACCTGCCCTGGCCACAGGGCTTTTCTCGCTGGTTCCGCCAGAAGACTGACTCCTCCACCTTTTCCCGCTGCTGGACGCAGAGCGACCACCAGCAGTGAGGCCCTGTGGACATCCGCTCCGTCCTTGGCCTACCTATGGCCTCACTTCGGCCTCCACCCTGCCGGCTGTCCTCTTTGTGCCGGACACCTGGTCCCGGGAATATCCAAATACACCATTGGTGGCCTGTTAGACGCCTCTGCTGGCAACCTGTGGCCCTGTCCAGGTTGTCCTTTCAGTTTATGCAGTTCCCGGGACTAAGTAAGTCGTGTTCTGCAACCCCAGTTGTCATTCAAGTGGGACCAAGTTCTTCTCCCTGCACAGGGAAACGCTGTGGAGAAACGCCTGGGGAAAATGAAGCTCTCGGTGAACTGTACAGTCCCCGCAGGCCTTGTGTGTTGTTGCTGTGGGAAGGCCATGGGGCTGGCTGGAGGGGTGACTGATAGCAGAGGGGCACCACCGGGTTGCTTCTGGGGCAAACGTTTATTCCTCTTTTCCCTTCTACTGAGCAACCAACCGCTTCTCAGCACCTGAACAGAATTTCTTTAAAATTTTAACAAAGACTTTAAAAAATATGAATTTTCACACTCTTCTGTATGTTGCATTATTCCGGCCAGAAAGTAAGAGAGGCAGCTTTCGGTGAGCCACAGCTTCTGGGCTAGCACTCCAGCCAGCCTTGGCAGCGTGCAGGATGTGGCTCTTGCAAAGAACACCTCTGGATTCAGAGAACTGCACTATAAGAAAAGGGAGGGTACAACAGCAAAGAAGGGACAGTTTATGTCAGGATGGGCCAAGGGAACCTTGACCAGTGTTTTTACGGACAAAAACACCCAAAGGGTGCTATGAACATCGTCACCAGCTGGGGATCCAAGAAGATTTTTCTTCACCTCTAACTTCGTTCCATTTTGCATCCTCTCCCAAAGAACCCTGGAATTCAGCTCTTCCAGGTCTCCCAGGACCTTCTACACCACCACCAGGTTAGCCAGAGGAGAAAAACTTGTTTTTTTACATTCCTAATGGGAAAACAAAGAAAATTCCAAGTTAGAAATATAAGGTTCAAGCAGGAAACAAAGTGGAATGTATGACCTGACAGTTTATACCTGCTGATCTCTCAGATAATGTGACTCTGGAGAGCATTAGTACAACAAAAATATAAAAAGGAATGTGAAGCGGCCTCTCCTCTCCAGAAAGTCATGGGATTGGTTGAGTTGACAAAGTCAAAGACTCTTCACTGGAGGGCTAGCCAGATTCCAAATTCTAATCCTTGGACCATCATTTATTAGTTATGTGAGTTGGCATGAGCTTCAAAACATCAATGGAGCTCAACTTTGCCCAAGTATCAAATGTAAACAGTGCCCACTCTGAAGGTCTGGTTTTGGAGATTGAAGGAGAGAATGGGTTTAATGCTGGACACATTGTAGATGTGCAAGCTTTTCTGTTTCTTTCCAAACTCTGGTCCCTCCTTTCCCTGGCCAGGGCATAGCTCCATGAACTCCATCCTGCTATTCAGTAATACTTGGTTTCCCTACTGACCAATATCAGTTCTCTCTCCCCTAATGGAAGCTAACAGGAGCTAAAGCTATAGGCAGCAAGGGGCTCCTCTCATCTTAGCTAGCTGGGCTCCAGCATGTTCACTTTCAGTTCATGATGTCTGTCTTCCCCATCGGTAGTGCACTGATGTGCATAGGTTGATAGGCTATCCTACATGGAATGATGGTTTGCCCCAGGCACTGGTTGTCCCAGGATGCTTTCTACTCATGACCCCTATTATGGTTTTATCTAGATGTCCCCCCAAAGCCTTATGGACTCGTAGGTGGGGCTTTGGGGAGGTGATTGGATCATGGGGGTGTGAAACTCTTCAGTGAATTATTCCACCGATTAGTTTATAGATAAATGTCATTTGGGAGGTGAACCCTGGTTAGAGAAGGTGCGTCCCTGGGGGTGTGGCCTGGAAGGGCCTATCTCCCTCCCTCCTCCTTTGGCTCTCTCTGCTTCCTTCTGCCATACTATGAGCTGTTTCTCCTCTGCCATGCCACCCTGCCTTGTAGCCAGCCAACTACAAACTGTGAGCCTCTTTACAGTTGTGGATGTCAGGTATTGTGTCTCAGCAAGGAGAAAGTAACTAAGTCAACTCCCAGCCTCTTGGTCATAAACAAGGGAAGTGGGAGTGAGCCACAAGGATTTTACCCACAAAGATTTTGCCAAGTCACAAGGTCAAAAAGGAGTTGGCCCCCCACAAGTTTCTTTATAAACAATTTAGGGATAGAGATTCTTATCTTTCATTCTATTCAACAAGTAATTATTGAGTCCTGAGGTTTTATCTGAATGACCAGTTACCCTGGACACTGTCCAGTTTACTCCACACATGTAGTATAATCTGACTTTCGTAGTCTTAATATGGGCCTCTTTTCTGAGCCTGAAAAATCTATTAATGATCATCCTTGAAGTATGAAGACATTTCTGATTCTAAAGTTAGGTCATTTATTGAACCCCTAAGTGTTTCCTCACCTTCCCTTTAAATAAATGCTTCCTTGGGGGTCATTATCAGACTTTGTGATGTTTATCAGAACTGAAGAGTTAATCGGATAACGGGTGTGGGCAGAGACTCTAATACAAAATAGTTCTTTAAACTCACTCTGAGAATATGAAGCTGGGATCTCCTTCTACTCCTGCCACCTTAACGAAAATACAAAGGAGACTAGAAACCCTTGATGGAGTCTCCCTGGTACAGCTTTTAGATTTTAGCACATTGAGGAGGAAGCTGTCCTCCTGATGTGATTTGAGGGCAGGCTAAATGGGACTTGTTACCCACGTATCATCCCACCAACACCTAAGCCTTCTTTAAAAATATCTGTGACACCAGAGTTGGGAAAAGCCAGTCATTAATGGAACTGAGCCACCAATCAGTTACAGTCTGTGGGTGCCCGACCTGAGGGTTAAAGAGGAGCAGTGAACCAAAGTTGGCCAGTGGCAGTGGACCCTGTCCACTCTGTGGTGAGGCTCATCAGTGGCCATCTATCCCCACCAGATGGCAGCACTGTACAAAGCCTTGGGGCCAGAGGTGCCGGTTAGGACTTGGAAGATAAAGGAGAAAAACAGGTCTAGAAGAGCACTTCAATCCCTGGGCTGGCTGCATAGGAAATGGCTTTCCAGGTTCTCACGAGAACAGGCATGGGTGTGCTTCCAGCAAGGACGGATGCAGGGTGTGGACACCAGGGCAATGGAGGTCTAAGACTGGATTCTGCCAGGCTACAGGCCTGAGATGTCTTTGATTGAAAAGGCATGCTTCTGGGAGACAGGTAGTAAATGAATGCTTGACTGGTACTTATTTTGTGCCCAGTCTAGTATTTTCATATGTTGTTTATTGAGCACAGACTAGAGAGCCAGACAGCTGGGTTCATATCCTGCTTTGGCCATTTACTAGCTGCATGATCTTGGGCAAGTTATTTAACTGCTCTGGGCCTCAGTTTCTTCATCTGTAGAATGAGAATAATAGTGATAATCTCATGGGGATTCTATGAGAATTAGATAAATTAATTATATAAAGCACATTAAAGGTACTATATTTTGTAAAGTAGTATTAACTATTGTTACTATTACTTTCTCTGAGCACCTAAGTATCTAAAAAGCAAATTACAGCAGGAAAAACAAGCAACCCAGAGGGAGCTTTCTCCTACCTTAGGGCAAAGGGTCCTCTTGTTCCTCTTCTTTCATCTTATTCTAGACCCAAAGCAGCTCCTATTTGAACTTCAGAGCACAGCCTGACAGCAATCCTACAACTAGACCTAACTCTGTCCACTGAGTCTTCTACTACATGGCTTTTCAGTTGAGTCTTCTCTGTGCTAGACCCAATGCTGGGTACTGGTGATTCAGAAATGATTCACAGTCCACACCCTAGCCCTACACCCCTTTTATGGAGGAAGCCAACATGTAAACAACTGTAGTAACTGTAATACAGTGGGATAAGCACCCACTTGATATATTAATATAAAAGAGAAAGGTGTAAGCAGTTGGCAGAGGCCCCACATTCCTCTCCAACATGTGATTGTCTATCTTCTGAACACTCCCTTGCCATCCAGTTTCTGGACAGCTCTTCTGAGTAGCACTTTCTTCCCTGGAGGGAAATATTTGCAAGATATTTAACAGGCCAAAGGATCCAGAATATATAAAGAATTCATATAATCCAATAAAATACAGATGTAAAACTGTCTAAATAGATCAAGAATATAAGTAGACAATTAAGTAAATAGAAAATTTAATTGTCTAACAAAAATGAAAGGATGCTTAAATTTGTTGAGAATTAGAAATATGTTTTTAAAAATATAGATACTATACTTCACCTAACAGACAAAAAGTATAATACAATAATTTTCAAGTATTAAGGAGAACAACTGGGAAATAAGTGCTCCCATATTCTGCTGGTGGGAATGTAATTGGCACAGTTAGTCTGGAATGTAACTTGGCAATAACAATAAGATTAAAAGTACATGTTACCTTATGACCTTATACTCAAAGGGTGGTCCATGGACCAGCTGCATCAGCATCACTTGGGTGTTTATTCCAAATGCAAACGGTCAGGTCCATTCCACATCTCCTGAGTCAGAATCTGCATTTCAACCAAATCCCTAGATGATTCATGTATACA